TCTAAAATGCTTTTTCCATTCAAAAAATGATATTACTTTGCTTCATTTGCACACAAAATGATTTATTTGAATTTTTGGTCATTTAATGCCTTTAATTCTTCCTTTTTCACAACCTTTTGATCCAAGTCTCCCCTTGAGCCATTTCAATGCCTCCTTGATACATGGTCAAGGTAAAAACCCAATTTTGAGCAACTTTCAAGTTGAACAAAATTTCATTTGAGATGTCTAAGTTGGTGAAAATGACCCATAACCAAAAATGACCTATAATCATAACTTCCCAAAATACCCTTGACTTGTCAAAGCCATAACTTGAGTTCTACAAATCCTATCAAGGACTTCTAGTACTCTCTAGAAATCTAAGAGAATAAGGAACAACATTCATGTTGACCAAAAGTTCATAGGAATCATCCTTCTTGGGTAAATGTTTCATGCAAGTTGGGTAACTTTCAAGCTCCAAATTCATATGCCTCAGATGACTTGTAACTTGTCTGGCTCATAACTTGAGTTCTATAAACCCTATCAAGGACTTCTAGTACTAAAATTAAAGCTAAGATCATGCTCTACAACAATAATGTTGGGGTCAAGATGAGATGACAATCATATCTTGAGTTAAATTGCCTTGAAGATAGGGGTCAAACTAGGGGATTTTACACTGTCAAGTCTTAGAAACCCAAGCTTGAAACTTCTCAAACTCTTCAATCATGATGAGTTAACCTTGAAATCATTCTTAGAACATCTCATTGTATCCATACATGGTCACATGGATCTTGAATTAAGTCTCAACCTCCTTCAAATCCTCAGTTGACTTAGGGTTGACCCAGTTAAACCCTAGCTGCATCAATCCTGGCTGAGGCTTCTTATTCTTACACAATGACCTGCCTAGGCCTCAAAGTGCTCTTCAAAACTTCTAATGAGCTCTCTCAAGACCTCAAGTACAACCTTATGACCTCAGAATCATCTGATGGCTTCCCACAACTCTCAAGTTAGGAGACCTACACACTTGGCTTCAACCACTCTCTCTGAGGATCTTTTAACTTCTCTGACAAGGATATCAACCCTTGAACACTTGAATAACCTTATTAGATAGCTTCATAGTCTTGTATAGCTCTTGATTGGTAATCATACCTCTTGATCTCCTGTATACATGTCAATGAAATGCAAATGATAATGCTAATGTGAATGAAATGAAACATAAGCTAGGTGAAGAAATTTTGGGCAAATTTTGGGGTGCAACAATTAGTTGCCTTGAAGCTCGAGCATGCCTCCAATAAGAAAGACTTTGAGGACAAGATCCCTACCATGGAAGCTGCCGCGACCCCCGCTAAGGATGAGGACGAAGAATTGAAAGCTCTGGGGACTCGTGTTGAGCTGATTGCCAAGATTAAAAACCTCAAGCAGGACTATGTAGATGTTGCGGCGATGAGCTTCGAGAATGTAGTGGCTCTGCTTCAGCTTGCAAATCTTGGGGTCGAACTCTCCACCGAGGGGACCGGGGTTCTAAAATAGGGTGTTGACGGCAAGATAGCTGATCCCCATTTTGACGATGATGACGAGGGGACCCAGCCAGAGGAGGAAAAAGTTTTGATTTATTTGTTTGTATTTGTTCGGCTTATGTGCCATGAATTGTAATATTTGAGTGTAGTCTCCTTTTTTTGTAATATTGTGACAGTATCGGGCTTCTATGGTCGTTTTAATCCAAGTTCATTTTACTTTTATGATCTCCTCGTGTATACCTTGCTCGTGCATCTTTCGTATTTTACGTGTGCTTATTTTCTGTTGTGCCCGTGTATGTTTTGTACGCCGAGTATGTGGCCTCAGTTAATACTTAATGTTTGAATGCGAATTGTTTTGCTAAGTATATGTGAGGTCTTACTCGACACAATTTGTGCTCGATAGGTTAGGGAACTTGTTTGAGTGATCGAAGTTGGTTTTCGATTGATAGTGGAGGAAAGATCTCGGTTGAGGTTTTAACACTGCAGCGTGAACTTCCCATCGCGATCTGGGTGTTCTGCCTTTCTGGTACAACAACAGCGAAACTCATTCGAGTTATCCTAGTCGGGATAGGGATTTGCTCGTCGAAGAGTGGAAACCTTCCTTTTCGTTAAAGTTTGGGATGTTGTGCTTGTTGTGCATCCTTTCGTCGTTGAATAGGGTACATCGACTGCTAAGCTTAGCTGTAATATTTTTTCAGTTTTTATATGTTCCATGGTCGAGCAAGTTCTTCCCTTTCCAAGTTTTCGAGGTAATAGGCCATGTGTTCCATTTTTGCTCGGACGCGATAGGGGCCTTCCCAGTTGGTGGTGAGCTTGCCTTCCCAAGGGTCTTTGTGATTCCTTCACCAAGACCAGACTGCCTATCTAGCATTTCCGTCTTATGAATTTTGCATCATGTCTCAGGGATATCTTTTGTTTTAACGAGGTTTCCCGAAGAGCTGCTCTTGACCGAATCTCTTTGACCAGGTCGAACTCTTCTCTTAACGACTCATCGTTCATCTCTTCTTCGAGGGGAGATTAAGTTATTCGAGATGGTTCTCGGATCTCCACGGGGATGCATGCTTTGGTCCCATATGTTAATTGGAACGGGGTTTCCCCGGTGGTCGAATGTGGCGTAGTTCTATAGGCTCGGAGTATGTTGTGTAGCTCCTCGGCCCATTTTTTCTTGGCCTTGCCCAGTCTTCGCTTTAGGCCTTGCAAGATCACTTTGATCGCGGCTTCATCCTTCCCGTTTGTCTAGGGATGCTCGACCGAAGTGAAGTATTGTTTGGTGTCTAGCTTGGTGATGAAGTCCTGGAAGTTTTTGTTCCTGACTGCGTCTTGTTGTCGGGGACAATCACTTGTAGTACGCTCAATCGGGAGAGTACGTTTCTCTTGTAGAAACAATGTATGTTGTACACGTAGATTTTGGTGAGGGCCTCAGCCTCTATCCACTTTGTGAAGTATTCGATGCCGACTATCAAATATTTATTCTGGTACAACCCTGTAGTAAACAACCCGAGGATGTCCATTCTCCACCAGGTGAAAGGCCACGGGGACGAGAGTGTTTTGAGCTCGTTGGGCGATGCCAAGTGCAAGTCCCGTGATGTTGGCATTTATCGCACCTTTTGGCATATTCCTGCGCATCATGCTGGATAATAGGCCAATAATATCTTGCTCGCAAGGCCTTCCGGGTGAGGGATCGTCCTCTGAGGTGTTGGGTGCTTATTCCTTCGTGGATTTCTTGAAGTATGTGGGCGACCTTGGACTCCTCGACACACTTGAGGAGAGAGATTTAGAATCCTCATCTGTATAACTTGTCTTCGATCAAGATATAGGAGCAATCTCTGCGCCTGATTACGTTAGCCTCTTTCTGGTCGAGGGTAGTTCCTCCGTGGTGAGAATTTTGAGAGTGAGTATGAGAAATCTAAGAGGGGAAATTATGAGCAATGCCTCTGATTTATAGAGTGGTGAAGGGTAGTTTAGGGATTGGTTTGAAATGGAAATTATGTTCTGATCCCTTATGGAATTTTGTAATGACCTCTCTTGTAATTTAACATGAACCTTGATGACCTATAAATGAAAATGGATTTTAATGGTGTGATCCTCAAATAAGTTTTCCTTTCAATTTTGTGTTTGACTTTGTCTTGATCCCTTGCCAAATAACCTTGGTCTTTGAAAAATGAACATGCACTTTGTATGACCTGCAATGTCTTGTCTTGCATTCAGATCAAGCAACTTAAAGGATTAGTGTAATGAAAAGACCCATAAAGAGATTAGGTCAACCTTGCAATCAAATTTGATCATGCCCAAGTGCAATTCATAGTAAACAAACCAATTGCTTAACAATAGGGTTCTATGAAGCTTGATCCATAAGAAATTAACCAATGTAGCATAAAATAGCAAAACCCTTGAATCCATGATATGTATGCATTTGTGAATTAATGACCTAAATGAATGAAGTATGAATATGTAGATGAATGAACGATATTATCTAAATAATTGGTTAATAGAGAATTATGTATGGAGTGGAATGTAGCAATAACCCAGATAAAATTTAAAAAGTAGGGCAAATTTTAGGATATAATAGGTAATATGTTTGATGAAACCATGATTGGATCTTAAAATGTGACTTTTTTAAAGATTTGTTTTGACTTGAAAATTAAAGAAAAGTTGCGTTCCTTGCTCTATATATGAGCCTTAGGAAATTTTATTCATGCAAGATCTAAACACATGATAAATATAAGACAATGTCGCACGAAGGAGCTGAAAAATCGAAAGCATATGAATTAAAAATATTTGATATGTAAAGCATGCTGAAAATAGTTGTCAAGAGTAACTCTCTTTATTTCACACTACATACTTCTTCCATTTTCAATTCAAAACACTTAATTACTTTAGGGCCATTATAAAAACAATTAAAATGAATAATTCAATTCAACAAAATAAAATATAATATAAAAATATAGTCATGCAAGATTTGAACACATGATAAATATTAAATAATATTAGAAGATGGTAAAAAAAACACTTGAATATGACACATAACATATACTAAAGATTATATGAAAACGTAAATTCCTGAATAAGTAAATCCACAAACCCATCAAAGTAAAGAAATTGAAAATTTTCTTTTAAAAATAAGAGAAAATGATTTAGTGTCCCGAATATTAAACATGTGTGTTTAAATGAATGTACAAATCCATCAAAATTTCAATAGTTAAAATCCAAAATATCTTGAAATATATTATAAGGACTAATTGAGTTCATTGATGTTTATACATTTACTGTATCACCTTCTTTTTTACCATCAATGAACTCAATATAAGATGGTAACAAAACATTTAGTGTACGCCTTAATCCAAAATATCAAAATTTCCTCTAAACATCAATGAACTCAATAGTTAAAATCCAAAATATCCAAAAGATGAATTGACATTGAACAATAGAGGAAACAAAACAAATCACCTTAGATATTATTTTGTTCAAGAAAAAATTAATACAAAAGAAGCACATAAGACAGATATGTTAACAAGGCGCAAATCTATCCATAAGCAAACATATTGTTGACTCAGATATTGTTGATGTGTTCTTTTGAGTTTCCCTTCTCTCTTCTTTCTCTTCTTCAAAACCCTCTTTGGATTTGTTCCTGTTGCTCACGACTCTCTCTTTCAGCTTAGCTAGCTCCCCAACCCACACCTCTACCATGCCTGACATTATATTCAGATCAACTCCTCCTCTTTATTAGCAAAGAGAAAGTTTTCTTTTTAATGATGGTTGTAATAATAATAGAACTATATCATGGTTTATATAGAGACTAGAAATAATGGAAGGAATATAAAAATGGGATATTCGTTACAAGTTTTTATTGGTTGATTATTAATTGGATTAATTATTTATAGTATTTGTAAAAAATATTAGTGTGCTTTGAAAAAAAATGGTGATTTTAATTGAAATTCATATGCAATAAAAAAATTATAGTCTTTATTTTTACAATTTTTATATTAAGTATGATGAAAAAATAAAAAATACTTTACAATAAAAGTTTAACAAAATTAGTTTTTACAAGAAAGATTTCAAAATTACTCTTCTATAATTAAGATAGAGAAATTTTTTTTTAAAATAATCGCCAAATTTTGTGAAAAGATGATTGATGTAATTTGCAATTTAAAAAGATCTTTAAGAAAGAAGACAAAAAAGACTTTAGGAGATATTTATAGATAAGAACAAAGATAGTGTGCAAGATATTTAGTTTATAAGATGAAAAAATGTTAACTAAAAAGTCTATAAATCTAGTTTTAAGAATTTTTCTTTTTTTGAAAAAAATGGAAATTTAAAATATTTTAGTTTTCACATAGATAATTTATATATAGATTTTTTTTAAATGCTGGAATTAAACTCAGGATTTTGAATAATTTTGAATCAATCTCGATGAATAAGATTCAATCACACTGATCGAATTCCCTCTTGTTCTCCGCTCTTCACTCGAGTGAATCAATCAATCTTGGTTGCAAGATTGTCTTGTTGCACAATGGTGATGAAAACAACAAAAGAAAATTGAATTAGGGAAGAAGAAGAGGTTCAGAATTTTCACGAAAATAGGGAAGAAGAAGAATTTCTGCAGAGTAACTCTCTGCTTTCAAAACTGCAATTTTATTCAAGTGAATTTATATACAAAAATAGAGGTTACTCCCTATTTATAGATTTAATTTTCTTGTTCCGTAAGCAAAGTCCAAAAACAAAAGCCCAAAATTCTTAATTCTGCTAACTCTACAAAATTAGGTTTAAGACAAAATCCATGATGAGGCTAACTCTTCGACACTTTGACAACTAGGTGTTTCAACACACACACACACACTAGGCTATTTCTACAACTTCTTTGTCCTTGTAGAGCAACCCGCTTCAACACAAGAAATTACAATTCAACACACTGTTGAATGCCAAACATGCTTTAAATTAATCCATATTATTTTAGGTATTTTTCATCTCATTTGTTATGTTTCAATAAATTTATTCCATGTTTACATTTTATTCTTCAATATGTTGCAAATATCTTTGGTTGCTTTGATTTGTGTATTATTATGCAGGAATGAAGCATAAAACACCAAAGAGTAAGATACAAGGAAAATTGACAAGGAAGCCAAAGAAAATGGAAAGATTTAACATGTTCGTTGGGGGAACAACAGTGAGCAGCCAGCGAATATTCGTTGGGCAGAGTAGCAGCGAAGTCCAGTGAACCCTCTCAGATTAGAGACAGAAAAAAATGATTATAATTTTGATGGGAGAACTTGTAGCGAGTGTTTGTTGTGCGAAGTTTCAGCGAGGTCCCAGCGAGGAGGAAACCTTTGATAGCATTAAGGAAAGGACCATAAGTTCATGTGCGAACTTGTAGCGAAAAAGCTCGCAGGGTGAAGAAGTGTTTGCTAGGCGAGTTCAGATATTTTCCCAGGGGCGGTTCAACTGTTCAAAGGCGCTTTAGGTGCCATAAAGTAGTCATCGCTAGGCGAAGAAAGAGTTTGTTGGGCGAACTTTGCAGACTTTAATTGTACTATATAAGTACTTTTCACACTTTTTGAGGATCCTAACCCCCATTTTCACATAGAAACTCATTTCTTCAGCATTTCTTCACCAAAGAGTGATATTTTTCAAATAGAAGTTGGATTCGCATCCGAGTTCGATTCTTCGATGTGGATGCTCATTCATCTTCTCTCATTAATTGTAAAGCAAGCTACCATGTTTATGGGTAGCTAATTTCCTTTGTATGAAAGGTAGAGGTAGTCTACCTTAGCTTTATGTATTTCTTTTGATTGACTTTGTATGAGAACAAGTGATGATTAATATATGAATATTTTTTTTCTTAATGATCGATTTTGGTTTTGTAAAATTCTAGACATAGATTTTATGGAACTTAACCTAAAATATTCATCTATCAGTTTATAGATTGGAGAGATCAGTCAATGGTTTATATTTGCTTTGTATTGAACTTAAAGCTTACTATATTGGTTGTTATATGGAGAGATGTGTAGCGATGAATATGATATTTCTCACGATGTCGCTCTAGAGATAGACGCTAATGAGAGAATACACGGTGATATTAATCGGATCCGACTTCATATGCAACATTGAAAGAATACGTATAAGTTAGGATAGATGAAAACTAATTTTGATATACCTTGTTAATCAAACACTTTATAATTTATAAGATTTGTTACTAAAAATTGTGACAATTTATGAAAAGAAATTAGAAAATCCTTTTTCTTAGAAACTATTGAACAACAAGCATTAAATATCAGAACAATCCCTATAGAGACGATAACAAAAATCCCCCTTTAACTACGATTTGAACAAAATGGCGTTGTTGTCGGAGATTGTTGTTGATATTGCAAGCATTGCAATAGTTTATTGATTTTAAGATCTTTGTATTGTGATATCTTACCTCTGTTTATTTTTCTTGCGTTGTTTAATTTATTTGGTTAAGTGTGCAGGTTCTGTTTATGCGAGGCAGTGTACCTGCGGACCAACTTCTTTTTGATCTTGAGGTTGAAAGAACCTTTCGGAAGGTCAATAGTAGAACTAGAAGGAGAAGGAAACTTGCCAAAGAAAGACGAAAGCATGGAGAAACTTCTTCATCTACACCCATTGTTACACCAAACATGAAGATCCACCACCACCACCTCCTGCATCAACCCCATGTGTTAATAATCCAAGAAACAGTGCTCAATTTGCATGGAATACCAATGTTGCGGTGAGAATTAGATGTCAAGCTATTGATTAACTTGAATCTTAATTCATTGAAATTCACCACCGAGCTTTGATTTATCCAAAGGAAAGGTTAAAGAAAGAAAAAGCTTTTGCGTGATGTAACAAAAACGCTGGAGTTTCGAGGATCGGGGGTTAGTTATGCCTAGTGTAGTTTTCACATCCTAAACATCTGTAGTACTCTACAGGAACCTTTTGTGTGTATGTGTGTATGCTAAGTTATCTAGGTTGTTGTTTGCTAGGGTTATGAGATCAAGGTTAAGGTAGAGACCTAAGGGTAGTTCTATGTTTGCTCGCAAAAATATCGCATCTTATGCCTACATATCCTCACTAGGATGGAATCAGAGCAACCGTAGTTCTCCTCACTAAGGTTGAGAAATACTTGACTATGGTCAAGATTCTAAAGGGGTAACAAAAATAACAATGGTTGTATAGAGTTTGACAAAAATCTCTAGATCTAAGTTTAACACTCAAGGGGATTGACTTTGACAAAAGCCAAAAGGGGAGTAAGTAATCATGACAATGATCCTTACATAGGGTTAACAAACTCTATCTTAAAGTTCTAATTGAAGGATACTACTAATAAGGGGTAGGTCTTTAGACTTAAAGAAAAGTCTAATGGATATAGGTTCTAACTTAACTAAGTTAAAGGACCTAATGACTTAACCAAGTCAAGGGGAGGGGTAATGAGCTATCTATGATAGTGAAGTCAATAGAGAGACTTCCTTTAGAATAAGGGATAACAAGGCAACTGGATGAGACCTAACAAGCTACATCACTTGGGGAAACTTAACAAAACCTAAACACACATATGCATTCACTCAAACACGATGAAGATACAAATAGCAAGGTAGCAACCAAGAAAGCTAAGGGTAAGCATGTAACAACATCAAGCAAGGAACAAGGTTACAACCAAATATTCACTAACAAGAAGTTTGGAAACAAACCAAATGGTTACAACTGAAGGTAAAAATAGATGTTACAACATCTAAAAGGGGATGATGATAAGGTTCTTACAAGACCAGACATCAAAAGCATAAGTGAATCATGCATAAGTCAAAACATTACTTATCATGGCCAAGGTTCAAAGACCAACATGCACAGATCATGACAACATGGATACAAATCAATTAGAGGTAACAACAAAAACAAACTTGTACAATAATTTTACATGTGTGACAACAACCTGTGATTTGTGATGAATCATGTTAGGCAAGAAGGTGACAACCAACATGGACAAGCATGAAACATGTGTAACAACAACATTTTCATCAATGATATTCAAACAAAACTCATGCAAACAAGTTATAACTTGAATTAAATACGGTATATGAATCAATGGAAAACAAATCTATCATATTTAATCATATTCAAGACATGTTGATGGCAACCAATCATGGATGGGCAAGAAGAGTAATTAACAATTGTTCAAGCATAGATTTCAAACTTCACAAAGGGAAAAGTGAACAAGATTCATGGTAAAAACCAAGGCAAGGAACAAACCTAAATATTTTATGGTTCTAACAAGACACATAAACAAGTGAGATGAGGGTGAGAGATCATGTTCATGAGGTTACAACATCAAGAAGCATATCATGATTCACAAAAACGTTTCAAAGTATACTTTCATATTCATACATTTACAAAGGCAATTATAATCATGGTAAAGCAAAGATCCAAGTTTTTTAAAACATATAAACATGTTAGACATTAAAAAATGATTCATAAAAGATCATATTACAAGAAAAATCAAATACCATGTCAAGAAAGTTCATGAAAATCAAAGAAAAACCCTAAAAAGGCCATGTCATTAAAGTGGACCAAAGTGTTTCAAAAATAACAATTCTTGAATTATTTCTTCAGAAATTGAAACTATACATATTAAGGAGCATTATGCAAAAAGAGTGGCATCAAAATGATAAAAATCAAAGAAGTTATGCACATTTGAAAACTAGGTT